GTGGTTATATTTCTGTATTTCTCATCACTTGAATTTCATTTTCCTTTAAATTAAGAGCAGAGGGTTAAAGAAAAAGCTAGTTTTTAAAACTGATGTCTCTCATTTGTCATTTTTATCATGAAACTTGAGGCAGAAAAAATTGGATTAATCAAATTATGGTCATGATGGCTGATGGTGATGCGACTCGGCGTCCCTAAAATGGATCATGTGGAGAGATGACCTTTCTGCTTCCGGTTTTTAACATCCTTTTAAATTGGATTAAACTGTATTGTAACTAAAACGTTCATAAAATGTATACTGCATCCAACCAAGCATAAAATGATGTATAGATATTTACAGAATAGCGCATTACTTGATCTACCCATGTGTTTATACATAGAATCACTATTACTGAAGGGATGTCTTTGTTGTGACTTAAAGTTTTGAATATTTTTTTTCCTACATTCGACCTAAACTGTGTCTAAAGTGGAGTATCAGTGTTTTTTTAAACATATTTATTGAGTCTTTCTGCAAATCTGTGCTCATTAATAAATGTTTCTGCAGCTCCAACTCAAACATTCAGCAGTAGAAGTTGAGTAAAACTTTCCATCACTGATAGTCTGGTTTTGTTCCCATTGATTACAGGAAGGGATGAACACCCTGGAGGAGTGGGATTTTGAGAAATACTCTGAAAGTGCCGCCAAAAAGGCCCTGAACCACAACATTAAGCACGTGATGAAAGAGGGAGGCCGAGCCGGAAAAGCCCTGATGATCAACACCGATAAGCTCATCAGCACTGTGCAGGTTCTAGGTGCCGCCGGCGGCGCCGCTAAAGCTGCCCAGGCCATCAGCGTCACCACGGGGGTCATGTCCGCCCTCTTCCTGGCTCTGGACGTTTTCTTCCTCGCCAAAGACTCCCACGAGCTCCGCAAGGGTGCCAAAACAAAGTTCGCCGGTAAGATCAGGCAGGTGTGCAAGGACCTTCAGGACGGCCTGCTGGAGCTGAACAAGGTGAAGACGCAGTTGCAGAAGACCATGGACGGCATCGAAGTGGAGGAGTACGAGGAGATCGAGGAGGTGGAGGTAGAGGTGGAGGACGAGTTGGAGTCCGACCCGAAGAAGCTGGCAGAGCTGGAGCAGGAGATCGACTTCCTGGAGGAGAAGCTGAACAAGAAGGAGGACAAGAAGGAGGAGGTGGAGCCGAAGAAGAGCAAAGAGACGGCGTTGGACATCTTTAAAATAAAGAAGGAGAAAAAGGAGGAGAAGAACATGAAGGAAACAGGAGAAGTGGAGGAAAAGGAAAAAGATGAGAAAATGTCAGAGTCCAAATCAGAGAAGAAAAAGGGTAATGAGTCCGGTTTGAAAACGGTGAAAGAAGCCATAAAAGAACAATTTGAGAAAGGAAGCAAGAAAGAGAAAGAGGCAGAGAATCAGACAACAGCTGGGAAAGAAAAGAAAGCAGAGAAAAAGTCTAAAGAAACAAACGAGATGCCGGAAAACAAGAAACGGCCTGAAAAGGAGAAAGAAGCAAAGATCAAAGCAAGTCATTCAGAAAAAGAGAAAACTTCCCAAACTCCGCATGCAGAGCGGGAGACATCCCAGAAGAAAACTGAGAGGAGAAAGAATAGCGAGGAGGAGGAAGAGAGGATGTCTGAGTCTGGAAGGAGGCACAGCAACAGGAGCGAGAAAGGAGAAAGGAAGGAGGAGACAGGAAGTCACCACGGAGACAGGGAGAGCTGGAGGAGGAGAGGGGAGGAGGAGAGAGGAGTGAAAGACTGGAGAGCAGAGATGGAAAAGAGCAGGAGAGGAGAGGAGAAATATGAGGGGGAACGAGGGGATCATTCCCAGAGGAAAGACTCCCATCGGAGCCACAAGGGGGAGTCAGTGGGGGAGGACAAGAAGAGCCACTACAGAGGAGAAAACGACGAGCGCAGGGAGAGAGGAGAGGAGAAAAGCAGCAGCCGGGTGGAGAGCGCCAGGAAACTGTTTGAGAGCGCAGCAGGAGAGCAGCAAGAAGAGAGAGGGAGTCAGAGGAGGAGNGCTGGAGGAGGAGAGGGGAGGAGGAGAGAGGAGTGAAAGACTGGAGAGCAGAGATGGAAAAGAGCAGGAGAGGAGAGGAGAAATATGAGGGGGAAGGAGGGGATCATTCCCAGAGGAAAGGCTCCCATCGGAGCCACAAGGGGGAGTCAGTGGGGGAGGACAAGAAGAGCCACTACAGAGGAGAAACCGATGAGCGCAGGGAGAGAGGAGAGGAGAAAAGCAGCAGCCGGGTGGAGAGCGCCAGGAAACTGTTTGAGAGCGCAGCAGGAGAGCAGCAAGAAGAGAGAGGGAGTCAGAGGAGGAGAGCAGGTGGAAGGGAGCAGGGCCAGAGCCGGAGAGGATCCCGCTCCAAATACGATGCTCTAAAGCACGACGGGCTGAATATCTGAGACTGAGCAGTTTATCTTCAGATATGATCAAACATCCCGCTTCACTCTGTTAAATCCTGCAAACAGTGTCGTCTGGAGGGGAAGAGCAAAAACAATCTACCTTTGGGACCAAATATGTTTTAAAATCAGCTCAAAGACCAAGAAAAGGTTCTAAAGACGTCCTTCGTCCAAAGTGTAAACTCTAAAGCTCCAAACTGCCAAACAGAAACTACCGTTAATACTGTGCTGACCGAGTATAAAGAATACAACTTATACTAATTAAGATCATTTTCTATGGAAGTTTTTGCCAAAAACTAAAGACTTTCTCCATGTTTTCTCTCTTTAGACACAAAAGTGGCAAATAGACCTTTATAAACAATGAAGTAACTGGACTTTATATTTTAACTACTATTCATATCCAAACTTTTTTATACATAATTCATAATATAAAGAGATAGTAATTTAATTGTTCTGTTACAGAATCTGCTTCAAATCTAAAAATAATAATTTCTTTAATTATTCCATGTTTAGAACTTTTTACATTTGTGGGGAAAATATGGTGTCTGATACTGTTTGACTTCGGTGCTGCTATAGGGGTAAAGCTGGCAGAAATATTTAAGTGCCTTTTTGTTTGAAAAATAATGCTTAGAAGTTTGTTTTTTTTTGTTATGTATATATGTATAATTTCACTGTCGGCTGTTTTATTTCCAGGTACTACAAAAAGCTACCATGTGGATAAAACCATGTTACAAATTTTCTTCACTCAGTGCACTTTAACACGGCATCGTTTCCTCCATGCATGCATCATGGCCAATCTCTTCTTTTTTATGTTGATTGTGTATTTAATGTTTTGGTTTTCTATGATGCTGGTTTCTTATTGAACAAATAAAATATAAAAAAAAAAATTATATTTTTCTTACTTTTTGTCTTGTTGTGACACCTAACTACCACTGGGGGGAGCCAGAAAGATTAATATAGGCTTGAAGAAAGTGGCTTCACTGCTGGTTCTGATAGCTGATATTATGGATACACCCAGAGACAGAATATACGTAGACGTCTCATTGGGCGCTGTCCGACGTGCCTAGAGGGCCACAGTTCAAACAGTTGCTGTCAGAATGATTGGGAGGCAATAACATGAAAGACCAGTTAGATAATATCAAAATAATCTCTTATATGTCACAAGTTGAAAGACCAAAACAAATTCTAAAATTACCTTTCAGGTAGATCACACAGATGTATTCAGATTAAATTACTATATAAACTGGAGTCAAACTGGATGAGAAATATGGATTTATGTATTTTGCAATCAATATTAATATGATAAACACAATATATTATACAATTGTTTCACTAATATATATTTGTATAGTATATTATTCAGTATTTTAAACGATTGCTCTTTGATAATGAGTATTATGATCCATAGTGGAAAATTTGTTGTAATCGTCTCTAACTAAAGGCTTTTTGTCCTATCTTCCTCCAAGACAATTTTTCAAACAATGTTTTGTTTTTATCATTACTTATCCCTATGTGAACATTTGTTCTTTAATTAGTGAATGTGTGTCATTCATATATATATATGTGTGTGTATATATGTATATATATATATATATATATATATGTATGTATATGTGTCATGTTGGGTATGGGGGTCAAACCCAAATGCAGAACACACCACGGAGACAGGGAGAGCTGGAGGAGGAGAG